TTGTGATACTGTCATGGCTCAGGAAATACAGGAATGGACGCAAATGCATAAGACTGAGGTAGAGTAGATGCAGTTCAGGTAACAGGGCCTACTAACAGGTACTTGGTTCTTCTTCAGGCCAGACAGTAGGATCGGAACATTGTCATTATTAAACTTTTGTGGCATGGAGTATGTATGCAGGCGTTATCTTTTTTCATTGACTCATATTCTGTGGAAACAGGAGATGTGTGACACATAGATATGTGTTTGACTCATTACTTTATCTTAAAACAATTTATCTCAGCACATTGTTGTACTGTACCATACCATTCAGTGAGTCACTGACACAATTTTCATATGAAAAATGTGACTTATTGGACCATTGACACATAATTTAGGCCGTTTCAACATGCAGCTAGTGGAAAATCCTCAAAAACCACATTTTCCCAATATTAAATTTCACTCATTGTAACATAATGATCACCTGCATGCTCATGACAACATAGAGAGGTTTCTTGGACAGTTTAGAATGAGGTCTTTTTCAAGTTGTTGCGCAAAAGCAGGCATTTCCCAACTTCCCAACTTTTATGTAACAGTTTCAACAACTTCTGTGGAAGTGTCCTTTTTCATGTAATATCCTAAAATTCATTTTGATTGGTCTTACCAAAACAAGAAACAGATAAAGGCAAATGTAACCAAATCATCACAGACCATACTGTGATGGCGATTTTTGGTGTAACATATTTTTTAAAAATCTTTTCATGGGGCATTTTTCCTTTTACTTGACAGTACGCAGTAGAGCAGGACAGGAAACATAGAAAGGGGAAGACACACGTTGCTGTGTTGTTTGATGCACACTGAATAAATTCCAGTAAATGAGAAGCTGGTTTTGTGGAGAGGAAATATTAGTTTCTTCTCACTGCAAGGATAGAACCAGAAACAGCCAGCCTCATTCAATATCACTGCATTGGATCATCCTTAAGTACCACATACTGTTCCCAACGGTCTTCTATATGCTCTAAAATACACATTTTGGAAACAACAACCTAACAGGTAGAGCTGCCTATTGTTTGAAATGTGGAGGCTGTATGACGTTTTAGAGGTTTTACAACTCATTTTTCAAACCGCACAAACGCCCACACAGAAAGAAGTTCCTTATAAAATGAGGCTGTCCCTACTGTCAAACTCTAAAGGAGCAGCAACATGCACATCATCAGCATGGTGAGTAGACCTATTCTGTATTTTCAATATTCTGTGTAAGTTTAAGATGACAATATCCAGCAAAGACAGAGACTGATGTGAGGACTGATGATGCTTTAGAGGATGTCTGAACACTATTTTTTTCAAACTGTGAATTAACATATCATAAATACCTTGTGAGTGAATTGAGAAATGTCTGTGTTTTTTATTTTATTTAGTAATTGATTGAATGACCTAATGGGACATGAACTTAAACTTTATCAATGTAATCAGGGATTTCTATTAATTTAGAGTCACTTTTGGCTGCCAATTAACAATAAGTACTTATATTGAAATATTTAGGTCTCCAGTGGACACTGAGCAGTCAATGTGCGAGGTAAATGTCAGGTTAGGTCAGACAAAACACAAGTCATTATTATTGTAAAGGAGTTTTTTATACAAAGAAACAAGGAAATTACATTTTTATTTTATTTCTGTAGAAAGAAGAGAAAAAAAACTCACTGACAACATAGTTACAGTATCACTGTACACTGTATGAAAAATACTATGCAAACGATCAACTGTGTAAAATGACATCTTTTCGATCTTTTGTCTCCAGTTAATTCTAATATCACCGTGACATTCCTGGTTATTATAATTTTGCTTTGCCTATTGGTATTGTACCCTTCAAGGAAAGATGAATAACATTAGTAAACCTAGTTGTACTAGTGGTAGTAGTAGCTACTATCACATTCCAATGAGCAGTATTAAAGGTATGAATACTAACAGTCAACCTCTCCTCAGCTTCTCTTTCCGGTGCTGGTTCTGCTCTGTCTATCGCTGGTGGAATCCGTTCCCACCTTTGAGCACCAAGACCCGTTCTCCAACAACACCCTCATTTGTGACATGTGTCCACCCGGCACGCACATGGTCAAGCAATGCACCCCCACCACGCCCACCAAGTGCGCGCCGTGCAGTTCAAACCACTTCACTGAGTTGTGGAACTACCTGTCCAGGTGTCTGTACTGCAACAACTTCTGCTCTGGCAACCAGGAAGTGGAAAAGGAGTGCTCCGCGGTCAGCAACAGGGTCTGTCGGTGCAAAGAGGGATTCTACTTGAAAGATGACTATTGTATGCTACACTCAGAGTGCGAGCCCGGACATGGTGTTAAAACCAAAGGTATTTATTAGGGGAAAGATAGTTTGTTGTTTTACTTGGATAATTTTCATTGATTTGCTTCAATCGCAGTGTTATGTGCTGAAATATATTTAAAACCTGATATATACGTGTTTTCTCACATAAGAAATTTGCGTATTTATATTCAGAATGAGTGATTAAACATTTTCGCAGTGCGTGTTAATTCTAGGGCGCATCAATAAAACACCACTGTTCTTGTCTACATTTGTAAATCTTTACAAACAAAGAAATATAGCACAATAAAACAATAAACAATGCATCATTAACTTTATTTTATAGTATGACCCGACACAGTTGGATAAACTCTGAAATACGCACGATCTCATGGGCTCTTCTGGAGCCACAACGTATTTAAAACACTGTATAATGACCCCTAATGCATTGTCGTTTTCTTTAGGTACATCACAAACCAACACTGTTTGTGAAGCATGTTCCGATGGCTACTTCTCCAGCTCGTCTTCTGCTCTGGATTCCTGCGTAAATCACCAGAAATGCGCAAACGGACAGACTGTGCTCCTCCCCGGCACACTTTACAACGACGCGGTGTGTGGTACCTGCAAGGATCTTGAAAATGGAGGTGTGTACCTTTTAGAGTTTATTTTAACTGCCTATGATTTAATTAGCCTATACCATTTATAGCTCACGGCAATTTGGGCAATGTTACCGTCGTGGGCCTACGACAAATTACAACAAAGTTTGGATTTCAAAGTCACGTGGTACAACTTTATTTCTCAGGTGAGACGCAAAGGAAGTTCCTCTCAGGATTCTTCAGTATGCACAGGATGCGGGTGGGAAAAATGAAGAAATTTGTCGCCAGGTGAGCCGACAATCTGATTACCTCTGTAAATCGCTTCTCATCTTCCTTCCAACCTATTGTCAACTACTTCCTTCACCCCTAAATCACTTAACACATAGACACCATTATCTCCCTCCAACAGGTACATTATTTATCAGTCTGATTACACGACTCCCATCAGACCTCAGAGAGATGCTCTCCAGAATCAAATCAGGGCGTGGCTGCTCCAGGCTCCAGTGGAGGAGCTGCGCAAACTGCCACAGATGCTGAAGGCCACACAGCTCGTGTCCATGTCAGACAAGCTACGGAAGAGACTGAATGAGATTGAGCAGCAGACCCCAAACTGTACCTTGCTGATGTAGTCGAAAAGACTGCCAAGAGTCCAGATGCAGCCTATTGCCTTCAGTGTTTTTTGTGTAAATTAAACGTTGGTCAGACTATTACTTGATTTAAGTGACTACAGTACACATTTGGGAGAAACTTCACAAGTAAATTGTAGCATTACTCAAGTGTTACATATTAGCTGACTGACGTACTGTAGAAACTTATGTTAGATACGAAAGTGAGAATGTGTACTAGATGTTACCATAGAAATGTGTGAAGTTCTGTAAAAGTGTGTGATATAAAACTGAAACCTTTCACCTTCCACGTGCAGCTAAATAAAGAACACGTTGTAATTCAAAATGTTTCTATCACCAAGACAGAAAACCCCTGTGTCTGCCTGCGCAGTATTGGAGCCTGACTGTAATTTAACCAAATCACCACGTGGTGTCGCCCTCTTCCCTCTTGGTCATTGTGGCCTAAAACATTTTAACATGCAATTATTTTTACAAACCTTACCAGACAGTGAAGTGAATGATTAAAATATTTTATTCATTTATACATTCATATATTTTCCATAATAAACGATAAAAAATGGTTTGCAACAAGTCACATCGTGGTTCATCAAGTGAAATGTTACCCGAAAGAATGAGGCAATTGTGTTTTTCTCAATAAAATTAATTTTAAATCAAAATAGTGGACAAGATTTAATAAAGCTGTGAAAGAACTCATTGATAATTGAATGTCAGGATCCCCAATAGATCCATGGCCAGACGTGACCTCAGGGTAATAAGACTTCTCTCAATACTGATTTTCTTTTTGTTGTTTTTTTATTCATTATTTGGCTCTATACCAACCAACATGCTACAGTAAATTGTCATAGACCTACTTTAACTGCTTTAACAAAAACTCTTCTATTCCTTCCAAAACTTAAGCTACTTTGTGTTGTGATATTCCATGCGTTTGTGTATCCCCCACTGTTACAATGCATAGGCCTATGTATTACAATTATTTTTAGCTTTTTGTTTTTTCAGTGATTTATTATCATTATTATTATTATTATTATTATTAGAAGTAGTAGTAGTAGTATCATTATTATTATATTATGGGTAAGCCTGCAGGGACGACACTTATTCTGTAACATTCCCAGTCGTGATTTAATTGTAACCTTCTTATAGGCTAGATAGGCTATACTAGGTCTGTATTAGCCCACTCTCTTATGTTATGCCGAAATTATCTATTGGGAGTAGTGTTGGTAATGCAGCCTATTTACAGCCCCCTCCTGCTGCAATACAAGCATGGGATTGGGACCCCGTGGGAATCCCGCAGAGACCGCTAGAGGTCCCTGGTTCCCAGCTTGGGAACCTTTAGTGCTGCCTGCTCATTAATATATGTCTGACACCACCATCACCAACGCCCCCTCCTGCCACGCCACAGCGCCCCGGCATCACATCGGCTCCCTGGCTGTCGCATCACCGAGCTGGGAGGGGCCGCGGTTTCCACTATTGGCTGCTCCTGTATTACCGACAGCTTTACGGTAGGGCCACGGCCAGAGAGGATGTGCGTGAGCGGTGGTCTTTTTCATCTCCTTGAAGCGCAGAATCTGCCGGGTTTCAACATGATTTTAAGGGGACTCTAGCGGGATTTCTTTCCTACTGTTTCTTCAGCACACAACTGTGAACCCCGCGCTGCTTAACCTGAAAAGAGATGCGCGCAGATAAACGCGGATACATTGTCCGGACACCGCGAGAGGAGGAGAGGAGCATGTAACCGGGAGAAACGCACCGGCGGCACCACCTGACACTTCCCCCTCTCGCTACTTGTTTTCCCATAATTGTAGGCTTTTTGCTGTGTTGACTGAACTCTTCTCCTTGGATTTGGATTTTACATTCAGCAAAATGAGCGAAGAAGTGTCAGAGGTCCCCAAAGAGCTCCTGGGTAAGAACAGACACGCATCATTTGTAGCCATGTGTCCAGACTGGAACAATCACGCAGACAGCCTTTATCGGATTCCATACTCCCAGTGTGCATGTGCTCCTGATTGAGTTTAGTAGTGATCTTGTTGAACTGCTACAGTAAAACATATTCCATACATAATATGCAGCCATATTGATTGTGTCTGAGACACAATAGTAATGCTAGTAGTTCCCATATTGTTCATACAACCCATATCCCTGCAGGGCCAGGTTTGTTGTGAAATCCTTATTGTGATAATTAATGTCCCTACAAAATCTAAAATACATTCCCTCATGGTGCAACAGTCAAAAACAGACATGATTTTATCCAGAATAAATTAGCTGTTCGCATTGCCTCCACACATCTTCAGTGAGATTGTATAGCTGCAGTAAAGCTTGAAGCTGTGTATACATAGGTGCTTGTACTGTTAATATCATGTGGACTGTACAGCCTATATTTGGAAGAAAAGCTAAATTGTTTAGATGAGTGGCCAGCCTGTCATCTCTCTGCATGCAACTTACAGGTTTATTTTCCCGAAAGTAACCATGGTCCACTCTCACATCACTAGCCTGGGGTGTTAACATAGCTGGTAACCCTCACTCGTTCTGTCCATTTGGTTAAAGTCGGCCATGTTTCTCATGACTTGTTTGCACTGATTGTGGACATACACTTTAGAGTCCTGCAGGTTGTAAGGCTCAAGCTCAGGGTCTCTTTGTTTGGCAAAGTAGCTCAGTTTTTAACACCCCTGTGCAATGTTGGACAAGCACAAGCTCTTTCTCCCTCTCTCTCCCCATCTCTTGTGGACACACACAAGCCTGCAATGTTCCTTTGGCTCCATTTATTGGAGAGACAAAGTGCACACTTTGGATGAGGCTTCAAGGAAAATGCTAGGTCACGTAGTTGCTTGGTCAGGCATTCATTCGCTGAGTCATAGAAGTCCTCAGCCAGCCAGTCATTTATATCCCTGTGCTCTCACAAAACTATCATACGTTGTTTGAGCTCTTATTTGTTATTTAGGAACAGAAGCTAGAGGATAAAAGTAAGTTCATTTTATCCCTAAATGTGCACATAGCACAGTATCATCTTTAACCTTTTAACATCCAGTATGAACCTTCTGTTTCCCACTAAGTAGCTAAAATATTTTTAAAATCATCTTATTCTACTTTGCATGACAATGTCATATGTTGTATATTCTGTATTACCTTTTTTATTAAGACTCAGTGTTTGCTATGGCTGCACCTTTCCATCAATTGGAAATATTGTATCATTTTATACACATTTCTCCCCAACATATTAGCCTGACATGTTTGGCATCATTGGACACTTTGGGATCTGAACTACAATATTACAGAAATTGCTTATTCCCCTGCGGACACTTTGAAAACCTATTTAAATGGGAAAAATAATGTGTCTTTTCCTGATTTCTTATGGTCCAGCTTCCACTCGAACTTAGAGTCAGCAAGTTCTCTGTCTTCATCCCCTCTATTCCAGAGTTTTCCTGATCCTGTCGGACAAACTTTCCCAACACTGTGCACTTAACATGAGGAATTTAGTTTGCCATGATCTGAGTGTCATGTGGTGTTGTCTGGATGAGTATATAACCAGCCATTGTTTGAAACATTCTCTGGTGCCCGTGATTCAACATCATACAAGATCACTCTTCGCATCCAGCGCACACAAGGAATTTCAGCATGATGCTGCAGATGAGCTACAGAAGATATTACGATGTGCGTTTGCTGTTAGAGCAATTATTTTGACATTTTCTGCCATTGCATCTGCCTGGTCTCGTAGGCAATGATCGGCGTAGGCGGGGGGGGCAATAGCACTTCACGTGGTATTGCTATGATCTTAAACACCTTTTTGCAACTCTCTAGAGTGATAGTTAATTTAGATCTAATGAGTGACATCATCAACAAACAAATTTGGATTGGCTGAGAGTCAGTGAATTGGAGAGTGACTTTATGGGCTTGTGAATTGTTTGAGATTTTACAAGGCCATAGGTCTCCCATTTCACCACCTTCCACACAAGTCCCTACTGATATGCATCCTAGTGTGACCTAGTGCACATACAGCTGGCTGGTAAAATTTCCACTCCTGTCACAGTTTTAATGAATGAATTGATTTAGTGGAAAAATTATATATGAGAGTCTGTCAGGAGCTTTTTCTGTCTGGGACCAAAAACTGCCCAGGCTCATTAAAGCTTACCAGGTTTCATTTTGTGTAGAAACCCTATAGAGACATCTCTGTGTATCACTGGTTGTCTAAAGCTATACTTTTGGAACTGCTGCAGTAGGAATTGGTGCACATTGGAGTTTATTAAGCATGGCTGGCAGATGAACCACTTTGCCTAATTATTAGTTTCACTTTGATCTGATGATGGTTTGAGGAAGCCTGTAGGCGAGGATACGTGTGAGCCAGCACAGATGTACACACACAGAATCCCTCTCTGTCTCAGACACATGTGCACAGACAACATCAGCTGCTGTGTGGTGGGTGGATTAGGAGCGTGGAGAGGCGGCTGACCCAGTTCTGCTCTCTAAGCCAGTTCCCAGTTGAAGGCTCATACTGGGCGTCAATCTGAACTGTGGAACACACACTCATATTGTTCTTTGTGTATGTTTGTGTTTCAGTATACTGTCTATTTGATGTGTATTTATAAATTAATGAAAAAGGGTGTTATTTTTAATGAATTGTTGTGTGTATATATATATATATATATATATATGAAAGTATGGAAAAATGGCAATTCACAAACTCCTAAAGTGATGTCTTAAATTGCTTCTTTTGGCAAACAACAGTGCAAAACCCTCATGTGTTCAACTTACAGTTATAAAAAACAGAGAAAAGCAGCAAATTCTTACGTTTTAGAACCTGGAACTTGTCAGTCCACCTCTTTTAAGCGAGGCCGAAATAGCTCAACAGTCATGATGGTTTTTATAGCTCCATTTTTTTGTGTTTAGTGCCAGTCACCAATTGTTAGCATGCAAACATGGTAAATGTTACATTTGCTAACCAGCAGCTGGTCAGCATTGTTGTTGAACATGTTAGCATGCTAAAGTTAGCATTTACCTCAAAGCACCACCGGGTCAATTTGCGACCAGGAGTCAGAGGTCATGCTCCACAAAGATATAAATGGATAGTGAAATGCAGTCTGAATGCACCATTAATCTTGTTGCTTGATGTCCTGAATAATTCATTGATTGTGGTTTAATATATTTTCTGTTGATCTAACTAATCTTTTCTGCACTGTCATAGATAAGTATGTATGTGAAGACGTGTAACCGTTTGTTCAGTTTGTTACTAGTTTGACTGGCGGTGTGTCTGTATTTGGTGTCAGAATCACTGGTGACAGTTTCACATCTCACCCACAGACAATGAAAAATGAGCCCAAATCTGACACAAAGAAATCAGCCTTCAAAAGAGGGATTCATGATGCGCAAATTACTAGATGAAAGATCATTCTGCCTGTGTTGTGTTGGGGAATTATTCCCCTTGTAGCAGAAACGCTCTCAGCTGTCTGTGCCTTGCTGAGGAAATCGAAATGGGGAAATTTTGACTCAAGTTGACTATTTGATTGGGTCTTTGTTGAGACTTTGTGGGAAAGAGCCTACAAAGTAAAGATCAATTGTCTCTTCTCCTCTCTGTTATATTTTTAATTTAAAAATAACATTAACATTCAATGCACACATATACAGAATTTTTTTAATCTCCTGATTCTATCTCCTCTTCCCCGTGTAGAGAGTGTGAGAGATGCAGTGGGGAGGAAGGTGAAGCTGTCACTGAGGAAGAGAGTCAAACTAGAGATCAAAGGAGACAAGACGGAGAACAGAGTCTTGGTGAGTCAACTCCGTCTGCTTTCGAGCTACTTGTTCATTAAGGGAAGTAAAAAATGTGCCTGTCTTTTTGTCCCACATTTCTCTTCTCTTGAAATTTACATGTTTCATTTAAGAGCATCAAAACCTCCCTGCCTTCATCTCACTTATCCTCAGCACTTGACAGACGTTCAATTTTTCAACCTTCACAGCGAGCACCACTTTGCCGCATTGTCACTCTATTTCATGGTCAAAATATCAAAACCGTTTCCAAAAAGCATCATTATCTTTCAGTCCCACTGGTCACATTCACTTTAAGTGGAACCAGTATCATCTTAGCTGCAGAGAGGTTTCTTCCTGCACTTGAATCTTTGCTCATTTATAAGAAGGTTTTATAAATGATTGCTAGTAACTGGGTCATTTTATTTTCACTGCAGGGTATATATGTGCCAAAGTTTTAAGTGCAAATTGCATAAGAAAGTGTTGCACAAGCTCTGAACTACTAATAATTTCTCACAGTTTGATGAATCGGAGGAAATGAGCCATTGATTCAATTAGCCCTTCAGCCCTGTTCCTTTACCTTATATGTGTTTACACTTTGACAAATTAAAAGTATGAAGAAAAAGCTATTGGCACTTCTTGTTTGCAATTTACCTATGGATGAAGAAAAATTCAGGTTCTGGAGTTATAAGAACTGTCTTTTTCCCCTTGATTTCTAAGCACGTTTATGGACGTTTATTCATGACAGACGTCAAAGGTATTGATGTCCTTGTAAAGTGTGAGTCACTGAATCTAAAAATATGTTTATTATTATGTCTGTGTGTTCAAAAGTTATGATTCCAAGAAGGAATATTATTTTTGACAACAATTGCAACAATCCGGTGCTAAGGGTTAAAAGTACCTTAACTGCCTGCATGAGCTTAGTGCCACTGCTGCTAACGCTGACTGTGTTGATCAGTGGGTCAAACTACAATAACTAACTTCCCGTTGTTTTCAGAACACCGGCCTATACTTGTCCTCCATGCTGTATCTGTGCCCCTGACAGTCTAAACCAGAAGCTTTCAAACAGTGAGCGATGCCTCTCCTTCAATTCCCGTGCGCCCCTGGGGATGTGTGCCTTGCAGTTTGAAAACTTCTGGTTTAGACATTTTCAGCGGTCTTTATTTAGCCTCAATGAAAAGTCATGCTAAAACAATAAAAGCAGCTGTTGTGTGTTAAACGCTTTTTTTAAACGTAACATTGTTACGCTTTTAGTTATACAGCTCTGTGTGGAAGAGACAAAAGAAATTGGGTAGAAGAGAAAGTTATAAAAGCTATGTGGAAAAGGCCTGCACAGCCAAGTTGTTGCTTTAGGACGTGATATTTGGGACATTAACAGAACTATCAGGCAGAATCCCTGGGCATGTTTAACTTTAATATATAGGCTTCAATATGTCATCTAGGGATGTGAGCTGAGAGAGAGGTGTGAGACAGAAATGATGAGCTTCTCTTTCACACCTCCTGCACCCGCTAAATGATCTGGGAGCACGCTGAGGTGGGAAGCAGCAGGAGAGAGTTCCTATGCAAGATGATTGCACTTGTCAGTTTATGTAATGTAATCATTAATCGGAGACACGCCATTAATGCTGGAATCCACAGCTATTGATTTTAAATCAGCAAGGAATATGAGAATCTACAGTAACATTCATTTAAATCTCTATGGAATACATGGTATGTGTTCTAGTTTTCTTCCAATATAATGTAATAAAGCATTAATCTTCACTCTAAATTACAGTATTTTTCAACCAGGGTCTTATTCTTGACCTCACCTCTTTTTATAAATTTGGGAAACGTGACTCCGGCAAAACAACCTATATCAGGGAAACAGAAAGTAAAGAAAGATCCTCTTTCTATAATCTAATCTAGTCCAGCACGTACGTCATATAACAATGCAAAGAAGTGGGAGTCAGTACTGGGAAGGGAGGAATTCCAGTGGAGTGGTTCTGGTATTTCATCCAGACGCAGAGCATGAGAATGACTCGGTGAGTTTGTATCAACGCTGTGCTTGACCGAGCTGGACAAATAAACCACTGTTTGTTGTTCTGCAGAAAAACAGAGTTTGAGAAACTGATTATGGAGGAAGTGGCATGGAGAGAGCACAAACATGTCATTTCTAATGTTAGACATGATGAAAGAACAATATATTTACAGACTGTTTTGAGATCAGATGTTGTAATCAAATAAATGTTAGCTTTAAAGTAAGTCTCAAGTGTTTCTGAGATGTGTGCAAGCATAATGCAGCAAAATGTTAAAGGAGCCCTCTGCTCTGATTTTAAACATGAAGATCTTGCGGGTACTACTCAGCCTCAGAAAATAAATACTTGTATATTATCTTCCGTGGCTCTGGATGGAGATCTTTGAATTAAAAAAACAGATGATGTCATCAGGGTGATTTTTTTGAGGGCTTGAAACCTCAAATGTTTAGAAATAGAAAATTTGCAATACCAGCTGGAAATGTGGACTTTGGTGATCACTAGTCAGTCAGGGACAGTCTTACCATAAAGCTAGTCAAGTTTCATTGTGGGATGTGTAGGATCCAGTGAGCTTGACCCATGACAGGGACCAAAAAGTCAGAATGTCTCAGATTCTGCTTTGATTTTGTCCTTTCATTTTGAAATCTGTCACAAGTCCTTTAACTTTGTGGAAGTGCAACTCTAAATTGCAGAAGTACCCCTTTTTAAAATTTTTATTATATTCTATAATTATAATTATATTCTAACATGATATTCAGTTTTTGCTTCAGTTTATTTTAGCTTAATTTATTTGCAGTCTCAATGAAATAATCATGGTAAACGATGCTAGAACAACAATAAAAGTCAAAAATGTAAATGAAAATAAAAAAGTTACAAAAGTGTGATCATGCAGGAAATGAAATTGCAGTTGAGTGTGGTAAGGAGTCAGAGGGTATAATAAAATAATGTGTGTCCTTGTACACGTTTGAGAAGAGGAAAATAGTGTGTGTGTGTGGGGGGGGGGTATTTTCTTTGCCCAGAAGTGTGATTTCGATTTTTAAACCACAGGAAGGTCATGTGTGTCACATCTTTATTAACAGATGTGAATGTTGAGCAGCTTCAGACAGTATAAAAGCAGCACTGCTGTCTCTTGGTGAGTAATTGAGTTAATCTGTGTGACTAATAGGAGTTTGTCTGTCTATTTCCGCTGCTATCCTGCTTCCTGTGGCTGTGTGTGGAACATACACCTGTGGGTGTGATATTGAAACTCTGAACTTTAGACAATATTACTGTATTTACATCGATGTGTCTGTTCAAAACCATAGAGTATTACTGTCTTTCCTCTTCCCGTTGACAAAAATAAATAAACTGAGGTTGTATTTGTCACACAGCTGAATAAGTTGTCTTCAATTTCCAGTTTGACATTATGTTGTAATCCATGAGAATGAATGTTAGAGACTTTGAACGACTATGGCCTTCTCAGTGTGGTAATTAAGTATAAGTCACCTCAAATGTCAAACACACAACCCATCTTTCTCCCCCTGGGATTTACAGTCCACATTTGATGTTTTTTGTTTACCTTTATTGAACTTCCCTTGTCAGATTACTGCATTCACTAGAGCGCTTGATTTACTTCAGACAATGCAGAGTATCCTTCTACAGTGTAAACTGTACAGATAATGAAGGGAGGAATATGGTTATTTTTACTATCAGTTTATTTGTCTGTCAAATACACTGAAGTCTTTCCTCCTTTTTTCTCGCTGACCTTTGCTTAGACTGGGAGTGGAGTACTACAATGCCCGAGGCATCTCTTAAGCACACTAAAGCTTGATAGAGACAGTCATCTCCCTCCTTTGAAGATGGAGGCATGAACATGGTAGAGATAATAACATCAGTCCATCAAACAAACCTTGGGGAAGAGTAGAGGAGGGTGGATAGGAGAAGGAGGTGAGAGAAGTACAGGGCAGAGGGGATGCAGGGAGTAAAAAGAGAAGAATCATGTAGAAAGAAAGCTGCACACTGTAAAACTCTTACAGTGTGGCAGACCGATATAATCAGGGACATAGTGTTAAGCTAGAAAGAAATAAGACAGCCCAGCAAACATTTAGTCACTGAAAAGATTTTAACATCTAGTGTCAGAGGTAAAAAATTGTTAATGGTGATGCTATGTAAAATCAGGAGATAGAGGAGTTAGGGTACACATTTCTACTTTAATGTTTTGCTTTTTATCTACTTATTTATTTTATTGATGGCAATGACGATCTGTCGTAGGATATGGACCAAAAAGTCATATCCTGGTAATGTTAGGCTGACTACCAGTATAAAATATATATCTGTATTTTCTGCTTAATGTGCATACTCGCAGACCTAACGTACCTCTGCTGCAAACATATCAGCGTGCCCTGCTTCTTTCAGTCTCTCCCTCTCCCTGTAAGTCTGCTCTGGTGATTTTCTCCATCAGTAGCAGGCTACATTATAATATAAATACTGACTGAACCGTTGTTTTTCTTTTTACAAGCCAGGTCTTCAGCAGTGTCGACCGGCACTGTCTCTACCTCCATGTTGTTGAGAGTTTGTGAGAAGATGGCTGCGTGCAGATGCAGAGACAGGGGGGAATTAACTCAAACATCAAACGATCGGTTTTGAAGTTATATCGGTACACCTCATAATACCGATATACCGCCCAGCCCTAATCTGTCGGCCTATCAGTCCAGCACAGTGGTCAAGACTGAAATATCTCAACAACTGTTAGATGTATTGCAATCAAATGTGGTACAGGTGTTCATATTTTCCTCAGGATTAACTAATCACATTGATGAATACTTGAGTTTACATTTCCACTAGTCAGGGAAATGTTTAATTTGTACATCATGTTGAATGCTAATTAGCAAATATTAACATGCAAACACACTAAAATAAGATGTTGAACTTTGTAAACATTAAAAATGGTAAAAATCACCATGTTAGCACTGCTACTGTAACTGTAACATTTAGATCCAAGCACCGCTGTTCCTGTGTAACCGTAGCTTCAAGGAGCCACTAGGATGGCTTGGTATTAACCGTATCCCCTATCTTTCCAAACCCTTAACCAAGTGTTTTAGTTGCCTAACTTTAACCGTACCTTAACAATGTTACATTTGCCATGATCTTTTCCCAACCTTAACCATGCCGTGGTTGCAGTGTACACATATTGTAGAACGTGTGAATTTGAAAACATTGGTACCTTTATTCTTGAATCCAGAGAGATAATTCAGAGTTTTGCAAAGGCATCCAATATAAACAGCTCAACTCCCATGATTGTGTTTGACCTGGAGATCATAGTTCTTTCTTTTGTCCTGCCATTAGCCATGTGTCAGTGTTATTGATTTACAGATACTTTGACATCCATTCAGAACTATGATACTAGACGTTGGCATAGTGTCCAACTTCCTGTTGATCTCCGCGTGTGAATAAAGGAAAGTGTATGGGTGTCTGTTTGTCCAAGCCAGAGACTGACACCAATACTTATCTGCTTTGTTGTTTCCCATTGTTTGCTTTGTATGTGGGAGTGGCACTGACACAGCACATATGACACATTGTGAAATAAAACTCTTAAACATCAACACAATTAAATCTAGAGTAGAGCAGATTCAAATGTTACTATGCCCAGACACAGCAGCTATACTAGTCAATGAAGTTACAGAATCTTCAGGGTTTACAGTTTCAAGATGATCAGGATTCACATGTTTCTTAAAACTGTACACAGTGAACTGTAAATCAGAATGGGTCCTTAGATGACAATGGTTTTCTGTTTGAGTCTGACAATAGCCTTGGAGTTTTTTTGTTGCACAGATACATGACACAATATGATACAAAACATTGTTTAATTCTGTTTAGTCACTTGTCTACTGTTTGCAGAGCAACAGTTACCGTAGTGTAGCTGGAGAAATAGTGCATCATAGTAGCTCTTTGTATTTTCTTTTGTATTTTCTTTATTTTAAAGTGTGGTTTTGACTTTTTAACCACAGGAAGGTAATCTTTTCTTCAGTCCCTCCACAAGTTAAAAAAGCTGTACTTTACTTCCCCCTCTCTTAGTTTGTCTTGATTTTGACTTTGATTGTCTTGGTTTGACCATTTCCGAGTCCACCAAAATGACAGAAACCTAACTGTTATGCAATAACAGTAATGCCCAAATAACTGTATTTCATTGCAAATATTTTGCTGCATTTGTACAAATATTGTACTAATATGTCTCACTGATTCGGGTAACCCAATGAAACAAATGACCCATGAATACATCGGAGAAGAGGCCAAAGCCTAGGATCTTATCCAACTTGTCTTTCCCACCATCTTCTCACCTTGAGGTCTATCATTAGGGGCAGTGATAAAAGGGAAGTGACACAGTCCTGTACTCCCCAATGATCACCTGTAATGTCATCTCAAGGGAACCTGCACTAGTATCCTTCATAAGTAGTACGAAAACCTTTTCCTTGAAGGCTGCAGAGCAAGTATTTGTCATATTTAAAATTTTCTTTTTCATAATAGTCTATGGTATCCAGTCTTTGCTGTAGGCTGTTAAAGTTTTTTTTATAGCGTGGCTACTTTTTTTACAGAAAGGATATAAAAATTGCTGTGAATTTATTGCTGTGTTTACATTTTAGTTATTGTTGGATCTGGTTAGTTGGTCACTAGAAATTTTCCTGTGATCACAGAATGATGAAGTGAAGCCCTGGAAAACAATCATTTAGATTAGTATTTGTATGTTGATATGATAGTTACTGGTGAAAGATTTTCCATTGCAATGTTGTAGTTTTTATGTTGAATGAGATAAAATGAAAATGAGATACATCAATCCTTGTTAGACCTACAGTACAACTTTTAGAGCACAGTATGGGTCATGTTGTATGACAATAAACAATATTTGTGTTTGCATCAGTGATTTGGCTATATGACTGACATCTTTTCTCATACAGTATTTGTGTTATTTGTCTAAATGTTAGTATTTTAATCTAGTTTTAAAGACCTGAAGGTTAATGTGTTGTCACTTTTTCAATGGAGAGTTAAACATGTTAAATGCAGTACCCTCTTACATTCTGAAGAGCAAACATCATTTATTTTCTCTGTTCTGTGCTTTTTAAAGTATCTGAAGTCAACTTCACCGTTCATGATATGGAAACCTCATTTTTCTTTCCCTCCTTTTCCTTTTTTTTCTACATGTCATACAGTGGGTGTTTTGTATTTTGAGAATGTGTGGTCCAAGCAGAGTCTGACAAAAACCATAGTGACTTTACAGGAGTCTTCCCTGACTAACTAAATCTATTTATAGGTTTGCTTTCGTTTATTGAGGTTGGGAATCATTTTGTATATACAGTATGTATCTCTGTATTACATAGTTGAGTGGACATGAATGTAGAAATACTGTTCTTTGTCCTTTTACCGAGGTTCTGCCCCAGTTCAAACAGTTATTATAATATTTAGCACACAATCATCGTAGTTAACTCTGCTCCAAGGTTTTCTACTATATGCTGTGATGTAGTTACTATTAACATAATTGGGTGACATTCTAAGATAACGGGGCAGAAAAAATGTGTCAAAAAAGGTCACCATTTCCCCGCTAGTATATACTGCAGTGACTGTATAGGCCACTGTAGAGTTGTCTTTAATGATTTGTGTTCTGTCAAATGTACTAGATTAGACTCTTGCAATTACACTTATAATTGCAATTTTTTAAAAGTGGACTTTAACTGGAGAGTATTAAGTTGAAACAGAGAATCTTCTTAATTCATTCTTAACAATTCAGGTTTGCTCAGAAGTGTTACACAAATCAGACAAAACAGGTCATACTCAAAAAACGAAGGAAACAAAACAATATTCAATTTACAATCATATAAAACAGAGAATAGCAGCAAATCCTCACATTTGAGAAGCGGGAATCACCAAATGTATTCAGTGATCAAAGTAGTAGCTAAATTAATCCACTAATTGTTTCAGTCCTACTCTAGATTGTAAAATGACCAGTATTACCTCTCAAAACAAAAGATGCAAGTGTTATTGTATTAACTTTACTTTTGTATCCAGTCCTTTCTTGCCGCGTGCAAGGACAAACATACAAACAGCAACACAGAAAGCTCCCAGTTGGCCCTGGTGGGGGTTGAATCGTTTGCTGGTAGGTGACAGTGTCAAGTATAGTTCAGTCCAACAGTGTTTCCTCCCTACTTATGCAAATATGGTTATGTTTAAACATTTAGCATTCTCAGTCTGAAATAATCAAATTTGGTACACTTCTTTGCTTCCGCTCAAACAGAGAAATGTGTCATGTCCCTGATGCGTTTAGATAGGATCAAAGGTAAGTATGAACATGGAGCAACAACAAACACTAGTACTTTTTTTCTGTTGTGTATACAGTGGTGTGTATGCATTGAGTAACTCCATAAAAAAACATTCCCAGTGTGGTCATTCTCAGAATAAGGTTGAACATGCTCATTATGTCCTATAGCCTATTCACGGACGGGCACTTTTTTAGAGGCTAAGTATCAGTCTCTGTATTGTAGTACTCTCCATTGAGCTGAAGAGAGATTTTTTTTATAGCAAGGCTTAGCATATTTACAGCCCAGAATGCCCTACAAAAGGCTCCTTGGAGAGATATTAACCGGCCACATGCAAGCCTCACCCACAGCCATTCATCTTCATTATCTCATAGGTCAAGGTCATTGTCAGTCAGACAGTCTTAGTAATATAATTGACCCTGCCTGAGGTCGTTGGGTTGATAGGTTTGGTTTTTATAATGTCATAGTACTGATTTCCAGTGTGTCCAGTTTTAAACCACAGGATGAAAAGGGGAAAAGAGGTGGCGTTACTTCATGGAGATGTTTTTGACTTCTTCAACTTCGATAACAAGTTTTGATTTCAATCTGCACATTTTTGCTGCGTATGAATAAGGTCAACTGGTCTGACTGGTCCTGTCCCTTGTGAGTCCTGCTTGGTCTCACTGTGGGGAAAGTGGCCGTTGGGTGTTTATAGTGAACACGGCCTGGTTGGTACAGTCTGCTCTGGATGTAATAGAATGGGGTTTGTAGGTCACAGCAACAGTCAGCATTGATTGGATAATAATGACATTTGTGCACCATGTCATCGTAAACAGCCACAAAAACACTCAGGTTAAATCAGTGTGATGTTTTCTGTCAAAACAATGAAGTCTGAATGATAAAAATAAGACGGTCTACATAATGTGTCTCCTACAGAGAGCCTAATCTGTCATTTTGGTTGCCTTTATGTTGCAAATTTGTCTTTAAACTCATATCTTAATCTTGAGGATTATTCAGACCACACGTTTTAAACCAGATCAATACAGGTCAGACTCAGACATTTGCTGGCACACATGCAACAAAACAACTGCACTGACTTCAACACCAGCGCTGTCATATGTTTTTGCCGCATGGTCAGATTTTATGGTGTCCTTGCAGTTGATGTTGTGTAACTGTTTTTAGCGTTTACTTCTGCAAACAGGTAAGCTACTTCTTTCATTCATTCTGTGTTTTTGAGTTCATGTCATTATTTTATTTGATTGTATTGTTTTATTTTTGTCATCATATAGTACACAGAGCTGAGCGGGTTCAAATACAACACAGCAGACATTGTGGGTCTTTTGTGTGCAGTCATGTGTGTCCATGGTTCTTTGTGCGGGTGTGCTCATCATGAGTGGATTTTGACAGATCAGTAATATGTGGTACTGGATATTGATGTTTTATGACCCTAACTCTATAAAATATAACACATTTCCTCAACACTGTTCTGCTGAAATGTATGAAACCAAAAACAGTGCCCTCCTCTCCTTCTTTATTTTTCAAAACCTTAAAAAATATTGTGGTATTTAGTGATATTTGAAGTAGATTCAGTGATAGTCACAGTTAATTTGGGATAAATGTTTTTTCCTCCTAAAATGATTTTTGAATTTAATTTCTTTCCTGCTGAGCAAGTCCTACCCAATTCAAGGTACTTTTCCCCATTCTCAGGTTTTCTGTTTTCAGATTCCTTTGAAATGCATTAGGTCCCATTATGGTGGAGACAGGAAACACATTTTTAGTTTTACATCATCTATATCTTCTATTGGTCATTTTTACTTTGATTATATAGATCTAATCAGGAGAGGACCTTTGCTTATCATTCATGATCTAAACCACTGTGTTATCGTTGAAATCGGTGTTCAGCACTATGTTTGTTTATTAAGTGTGTTATTAGTGCCGCCTGATGTTATCTACCCACTCCAGAGGGAAACCATGGGTAATGCCAACAGCACTCAGAACGAAATCCCCCCCCCCTCCCTCTCCCCGCTCTGCCTTTGTCTATCTGTTGTTCCTTTCTTATTCTTCTCTCTCTGGTTTTCTCTCTGTCATACCTGCGTATGTCTCTCTCTCTTTGACAAAGCACTACACTTCAGTTTGAGGAGGTGTTGCCATTCTGGTTTTCTTTGTTACTTGAGTTGTAAAATTAATAATCTCTCCACCTCTGCTCTCTTGTTTCTTCCTCTGCTTTTCTCCGTCTCACTTGTTCATCCATGTGGTCTGCAGCAATATCCTATTTACCCAGAAACCTTGGCGCACACACACACACACACACACACACACACACACACACACACACACACACACACACACACACACACACACCTCCTCCCCATTGTGTCTGGCTGGCATGCTGATGAATGAATGAACCCTTGTGATTATTCCTTATCTCTGTAACCTAAACACACAGAGGGTTCTTAGAGGACGCCCTGCAGGCTGACACCTTTCTAAGAGGAAGCCCCCCCATATCACTCCCACCAGAGTCCAGTTTCTAAAAGCCTGGATATATCGAGTGTCAGAGGGCGTCTTGCCAAACTGGACTAATAATCTCAATCTGAAAACACAATCATTTAATCCCTCTGCCTGGCCCTTTGAATGTGTGGTCAGCCTCAGCTTTGCACACATTTCGGAGGTTGACTGGATATTTTATGCTCATTAGTGAGGCCATGAAACACAGGCAGCATGCAGAGGTAATATATATGGTAACATGCATTAAATTACTGTTGTGTGATGGTATCCTATTCAATAAAGGTCTGTTTTTCTTTTCACTCTTAAGACAAATTGTCAGCTGCTGAAGACAGATTGTCTTCAAGCTTACATTGTGTGTCTAATTTATCATTGAACACATCGTGCATATTCGCTGACACTTTGTATTCTCACTGAAAACAAAGCAAGCGACAGTAGCAATAAAAATAAATTGCGAACTAAACCATGAAATGTAACACAATCAGACACCACAGTTATTCATGCCTCAGCTTGCTGTAGCTGTGGTCTGATGAGAGCAGCCAATCAAATCTGTTTAGGAAGTACCACAGTCAGCCGCCTTTGTTCCTCACCATGCGCATCTCCTCAGCAGTAAAACACATAATGATGAGCAGGGCAGTGATAAAATAAAATTGATGTCTCTCTCTTAATGCGCTCCTTGGCTGCTGGTGCAGTGTGGGGCGGATATGCAGTGCAGAGAATGGTTTTGCTCCAAAACAGGATATCCATAATTTAAAAAAAAACTGAAAACAGTGGCATGTATCCTGATAAAGTCAATAGCAGCTTGGCTATCTGGACATTCTTTCTTAGAATAATGTTACATTAAGCTTTTGTGCTGTGATTTTGTTTTTGTATTAGATCCTATGAATCCTATAAATATTTTAAGCTAAGGAGATGCCTTTATTTGTGGAATAAAGATGCTGATGACAGACCACCACACTATCTGGTGGCTGTGTTGGATAATGTTATACTGTTTTGTAGAAAGGACAACCATATCATGATATTTGTCTTGTCTGAGATTGCAGAAAGAAGAAAGACACTGTGCATCATGTTAGCTTTTTCTGTTACTAATCCGTGCTTCCCTACATACTCACATTGTGCTGGGGT